TATACCATCAGCTTCTGAGACTGCACAGCTTTTCATCAAAGAAGTGGTAAGATTGTATGGGGTACCTAGAAATATAGTATCTGATCGTGGAGTTCAGTTCACGTCAAAATTTTGGAGAGCCTTGTGTGAAATGCTGGAAATCAAGTTATCATTTTCCTCGGCATATCATCCACAGACGACGATGGGCAGACGGAGTGGACCAATCAGACGTTGGAGCAATACCTCAGGTGTTATACAGCCTTCCTCTAAGATGACTGGTTGGCACTCCTACCTCTAGCTGAGTTTGCCTACAATAATGCAAAGCACTCCGCCAAGAAACAATCACCATTTTATGCCAATTATGCCAATTATGGGTTCCATCCCACTTTTCTTCTGGATTTAATTCCGGAAAAACCCAGTACCAGCAGCGCAAGATATTGTAAAATTCTTTTCCTCTAACAGCAAATTACTACAGGAAGCAGTAACTAAGGCCCAGGAGGATAACAAAAGAGCATTTGATAGGAGGAGAAAGGGAGAATTGGCTATATGCCCAGGAAACCAAGTCTGGTTAGCTACTACCAACTTGAAGATGGCTTGCCCTTCAAAAAAGCTGGCACCTAAATTTATAGGCCCTTTTTCGGTAAAAACGGCAAATCAATGAGGTGGCTTTTGAATTAGCTTTGCCTGAGTCCTTTCGAATACATCCAGTATTCCATGTATCCTTGTTAAAACCAGCAATTCTGGATCCCTTCCCAGAACATAAGTCAAGACCTCCGGTAGCCTTGGACATTAATGGAGAGGAGGAATTTGAAGTGGAGGCAATTTTGGATTACAGAAGGAGGAGAGGCCGGGTACAATACTTAATAAAATGGAAGGGCTATGGCTTGGAGGAAAATTCGTGGGAACCTGCCCAAAACATCCACGCTCCCAGATTAATCCAGCAGTATCACCGTAACCACCCACAAAGGAGAGGTCAGTTGGGCATCTGGAGGCTGCCCGTAGGGGGGGGGGGGCAATGTCAGGGACCACCGTGACGCATGAGTCTGCACATGCGTAGGTGTCCGACAAGACATGCAGCCAGGCGGGCACTAGGACCCAGGCGCGCCTGTCACCTATGATAGCGCTGGGCAGGCACTAGGACCCACCCAGGCACACCTGTCAGCGTCGGGCGGGCTACTTAAACCAGCCCTGCACAGACACACGTTGCCTGATGGTCTTCTCCCTGTTCCTGTGTTCCTGCTCTTCCTGTATGCTGATTGCCTTGTTGCTGACCCTGCCTGGACCTGATACCGCTGTCTTCTCCTGCCCTGACCTTTGGCTCGCCCTGACCATCCCTGCCTGCTCCCTTTGTCTGACCTCCTGTTACCGAACCCGGCTTGTGACCCAATTACGCTTTGTCTACCGATCTGTACCGTCTGCCTTGCTGTTACCTACCCGGCTTGCCTGACCACGTCACACCTCTTCACATCTGGCTCCTACCCGCTACACGCCATTGGCGGTTGCCTTTACCACGGTTGGTGTCACTCAGGGGTTGCTTCAAGTCCATTCCCACCATCAGGGGCTCTGGTGAACCAGCAGACCTGGGCTTAGACTCCGCGCCCTGGGGGACTCCGGCCAGTGGGCCACTAGAGGTCGCCATCAGTGTTTGTGACAGTCACTGTTGGTAGAACACTATGCCATCATGGTTTCAAATCATGCATTGCACGGAAGGTTCCCCTGCTCAAGTCATCACATGTCCAGGCCCATCTGAAGTTTGCCAATGACCATCCGGATGATCCAGAGGAGGCATGGGAGAAAGTCATGTGGTCAGGTGAGACCAAAGTAGAACTTTTTAGTCTAAACTTCACTCGTCGTGTTTGGAGGAAAAAGAAGGACGAGTTGCATCCCGAAGAACACCATCCCTACTGTGAAGCATGGGGGGTGGTAAACATCATGCTTTAGGGGTGCTTTTCTGCAAAGGGGGGACAGGATGACTGCACTGTATTAAGGAGAGGATGAATGGGGCCATTTTATTGTGAAATTTTGAGCAACAACCTCCTTCCCTCAGTCAGGCATTGAAGATGGGTCGTGGCTGGGTCTTCCAACATGACAACGACCCAAAGCACACAGCCAGGATAACCAAAGAGTGGCTCTGTAAGAAGCATATCAAGGTTCTGGAGTGGCCTAGCCAGTCTCCAGACCTAAATCCAATAGAACATCTTTGGAGGGAGCTGAAACTCCGTGTTGCTCAGCGACAGCCCCGAAACCTGACAGATCTAGAAGAGATCTGTGTGGAGAAGTGGGCCAAAATCCCTGTTGCAGTGTGTGCAAACCTGGTCAAGAACTACAGGAAATGTTTGACCTCTGTAATTGCAAACAAAGGCTTCTGTACCAAATATTAACACTGATTTTCTCAGGTGTTCAAATACTTACGTTTCCTGAATTGTTTTTAAAAATTTTATCTCTCGGGGTGGGAATGCACCTACAATGTGAATTTCAGACCCCTCCATGATTTCTAAGTGGGAGAACTTGCAAAATAGCAGGATGTTCAAATACTTCTGTTCCTCACTGTAGAAGTTGCTCAGAAGTTGTCCTCAAGTTCTACAGTTCCTTGGGCATCCCATGTACATCCCAATGTGAATTTCAGACCCCTCCATGATTTCTAAGTGGGTGAACTTGCAAAATTGCAAGGTGTTCAAATACTTCTGTTCCTCACTGTATATATATATATAGTATATATATATATATATATATATATATATTATATATATACAGTATATAGAAAATTTTTCAACTATAACTCTATAGACCTTTACAAGTATGTGGCTTCTCCATTAGGCAGAGACGAGAAGTGACTCAGAAGGGAGCAGTTCCTGCACCTATTCTCTGAGAAAAAAAGCCATATGTGGCTAAATGGTTAGCACTTCTGCCTGGCAGTACTAGGGACGTTGGTTCGAATCCCAACCACGGCACCACTTGCCTGGAGTTTGTATGTTCTCCCTGTGCCTGTGTGGGCTTCCTCAGGGTACTCCAGTTTCCTCCCACACTCCAAAGACATGCTGGTAGGTAAAATTGGATCCTGTCTAAAATTGGCCTAGTATGTGTATGTATGAATTGTGAGTTAGGGACCTTAGATTTTACACCCCTTGAGGGTTAGGGACTGATGTGAATGTACAATATGTAAAGCGCTGTGTAAATTGACGATGCTATATAAGTACCTGAAATAAATATATATATATATATACACATACACTAGATTGCCAAAAGTATTGGGATGCCTGCCTTTACACGCACATGGACTTTAATGCCATCCCAGTCTTAGTCTGTAAGGTTCAATATTGAGTTGACCCACCCTTTGCAGCTATAACAGCTTCAACTCTTCTGGGAAAGCTGTCCACAAGGTTTAGGAGTGTGTATATGGGAATGTTTGACCATTCTTCCATAAGCACATTTGTGAGGTCAGGCACTGATGTTGGACGAGAAGGCCTGGCTCGCAATCTGTGCAGGTCAGTCAAGTTCCTCCACCCCAAACTCACGCATCCATGTCTTTATGGACCTTGCTTTGTGTAAAACCAAAAAATGCTTGATAAATACTTCATAAAATGGCATTAACCACTTGACCTTCTGAAGGTTTTTTATACAGTATATATGAAAATTGATCAATTCTGACGTCCTATCCCATTTCTTGAGGCCCTAAATTGCCAGGACAGTACATATAACCGCCAAACGATCCCTTTTTGGAAAGTAGACAGTCCAAGATATCTACTATGTGGTCATCACTACAAAGTGCAGTTTATTGGTTTTTCTAAATCACCCCCAATGTTTCTGTATTTTTATTCATATTTGTATTTCTATGCATTACTGATTATAGACTGATCCAAAAAGGTGCAGATTACTCCTAACTGGCAACATTTTTACATTCCTTCAATATCGCATGCCTGGACCACTATCTAACGCACACATTTATTATTTATTTCCTTTAGTGATTTGACCTTAACCACTTTAGGACTGCCCACAGTACTTTTACTTTTGGTGGGCACCACAGCCAGACTCAGCAATGTAAATATACTTTGCTTTGCACATATGCAATGGCACAGCCCCTGGGGCACACAGAGAGCTGCCCCATAACTGACACATTGGACTACAGTTCCCAGCCGGCAGCTTTGAGAGACTGGGGTACCACGTGATCGCTATGCGATCACCTGATCATAATGTATACAGAACTGTTATGAATGAGTTTCAAATATCACAGCAAAAATTAATTTAAAGTGTAACTAAAGACAAAACGTTCTTGTTCTTTCAAATGTTTATTTAGTATGAATAAAAAAGCTTCTTAAAACTCTATAAGGCTGGAATATACACTTATATCTGATGACTCTAACAACGTTTTCTCCTGCAGTATATAACATACCATATTTTATATACTACTAACGGTAGTGATCAGCAACTTAGAGTGGGACTGTGATAGTGTGGCAGGCAATCTGACAGTAACTGACACTGGGTGGGAACTTATTACTGCCACAGGCATCACCAGTGACAATAATACAGTGATCAGTGATAATACTATATACTGTCACTGTACTAATGACACTGGCTGGGAAGGGATTACCATATCGGGGTAATCAAAGGGTTAAATGTGTGCCTAACAAGTGTTAATTTGTGCAATGTGTGCTACTTTTTACTAAATATCTACTTTGCAGGCAGAAGAAACAGAGAGATCATTCCCCCTGTACAGAGCCCTGTATTGACTGTCCACATAGGGCTCTGGGCTGTGATTGGACACAGCTGATCAACATGAATCATTGGCCAGAACCTGTTGACAAACTCCCGCTGTGTACGATCACAGAGAGAGTCGGCAGGTGGGGGTGTGTGCTTGCACCCTGTTCAGATGCAAGGCCATATTTTTGTCAGAAAATCCTGGAGTAAAACACACATTTGGATTTTTCTGTTCTTTTGAGTTTTCTGCATGATGACACTACAGCTTCATTGCACGTTAGATATAAAATTATGAATTGTTATGATTAGTCCTTTTAACACGTGACAATATGACATCTATTGATTAACCACTTGCCGTCCGGCCGCTGTATATAAACGGCCTGACGGTGGCAGTCCAGGGGCGGGTTGCCGTTCATAAACGGCACCTGCCATTATGGACTGTGCGTGCTCCCTGTGTCTTACGGACACAGTAGAACACCGATCGTCTTACGGGTCAATCAATGATCACATGCAGAGTAGTAAGCAAGATGTCACTTCTGACATCATTGCTTACTACATGTGAAATCTGTGAATGATCACAGAGGTCACATGGTACAAGGCTATTCACAACAGCCTTGTACCATGTGACAAGCTGTGACCAATCACAGCTCACACAGTAGTTCTCAATGGCTGCAAGAATGCAGCCAGAGAGAAGGAGAAATGATTGCTTTTACAGCCTTTATGGGTGTAAAAGCAATCAGTGTAAAAAAAAAAAAAAAAATTCATCACCCCCCACAAGTAGTACAGTGTCACCATGTTGACACTGTACTGCTAGGGTGACAGTATGTAAAAAAAAAAAAAACGCATAAATAATAATAAAAAAATAAAATAAAAATGTAAAAAAATTTTTTTATAAATTATAATTTTTGGTTATAAACGAATTTGGGTTATTTTTTTTACTAAAAAGATAACTGAATAAATTTTGGCCAAGATTTATGATGAAATATATTATAAGAAAAACACTTTTTTTTCAAAATTTTTGGACTATTTCATTTATATAGCAAAAAAAAAAAATCTCAGTGGTGAATAAATACAGCCAAAATAAAGCTTTATCTGTCTCAAAAAAATGCTAAAAATTAATATGGGTACAATGTTGCATGACCGCGCAATTGTCATTCAAAGTGTGATAGCGCTGAAAGCTGAAAATTGGCCTGGACAGGAAGGGGGTAAAAGTGTCCGGTCTGGAAGTTGTTAATATGCATGTGTGAATTATTTAAGGAACAACAACCTGTTTTCGTTCTACAATGAGCTGTTCTGTTAATGTTAATCACACATATTATATGGTTATCTTATAAACTAGTATGCCATGAAATAGCTTATTTACTGGTTTATTTCTTAGCAGCATTATGTCTTAGTTTGGGAACAAAAATGTTGAATATTGTTTGTGACATTTCTGTGATAGTTTCATAAAAAGCTGCTTTCATCAAAGAACAGTATTTACATTTGTGAAAGGTTCAGGGTTGCAATTAACTGCAAATGCTACCATATGCTAGTAATTAATTGATCTGCTCATTAGCAGGTAATAAAATCTGTGTTTAGTAGAGAATATCTTTTTCTTGTTAATGTGCCCTACATTGTTCATTTACAGTACCGAATGGTTGATTTTTGTATAAGGCTCATGTTCAAAATAAAATTCCAGTTTTTTTTTTTTTGCTTTCATTACACATATATTAACCCTTTGACGCTGACATAACACAAATATGCAGCCACACCGCACTGGGATTTTAGCCGTGGGGCTGCATATTTGCTTATCTCTCTTTGTGCTGTGAGCATTCACAAGGTCTCACCAAGAGCCCCGGTTCCCGTACTAACGAATGAAACCCGGAACTCCCAATTCTAGGTCACCTGATCGCTGTGCTAGCCTTTGACTGGCAATCATAGTGATTAACCGTTTCAATACCGTGCAATTTTACACCTTCCTGCCCAGGCCATTTTTCAGGTTTCAGCGCTCTCACACTTTGAATGACAATTGCGCGGTCATACAACACTGTACCCAAACTAAAATTTTATCATTTTCTTCACACAACTAGAGCTTTCTTTTGGTGGTATTTAATCACCGCTGGGGTTTTTTTTTTTTTGCTAAATTAACAAAAAAAGACCAAAAATTTTGAAAAAAAAACACATTTTTCTTTGTTTCTGTTATAAAAGTTTACAAATAAATAATTGTTCTTCATAAATTTAGGCCGAGATGTATTCTGCTACATGTCTTTGGTGAAAATAACCCAAATTAGGATGTATTTTTTAGTTTGTAGGAAAGTTACAGAGTTCACAAACTATGGTATAGATCTGAATATTGATCAATCCTGAAGTACTGACAGCCAATCTAATTTCTTGAGGTCCAAGAATGTCAGAATAGTACAGATATCCCCAAATGACCCCTTTTTTGCAGAGTAGACAGTCCGACGTACTTCATAAGAGGCATGGCGAGTTTTTTGAAGTTGTATTTTTTTTGTCATAATTTTTTGGAAAATGAAAAAATTAAAAAAATTATTTTCACTATTTTTTTTTTTTTACATACTGTCACCAGTGCAGTACAGCGTCATCATATAACTGGCATGGTGGTGAACAGGGACACTGACTGGTGACAGTATGAAAAAAAAAATATATATATATTTTTTTTTTTATATTTTTTCTTTTTATTATATTTTATTTTTTATTACATTTTTTATTTTTTTTTAATTTTTTTTTTCATATTTTACTATGACCAAAGTAGTACAATGTTACCATAGTAACATTGTACTACTTTGGGGAAGTGATCAGTATTTTTTTTTTTTTTTTTTTTTACACAATTTGCTTATAGCAAAGAATTACTTTGCTATAAGCAAGCATTTACCTGAATGAAATCGATTCATTCAGCTTTTTTTTTTTTTTTTTTTTTTTTGTGCTTAGCTGTGATTTTGGTCACAGCTAATCACATGACATGTGCATGTGATTAGCTGTGACCATTCACAGCTAGGCACTAGTATACAATGGATGGCATCATGAATGAAGCCATCCATTGTATACAACTGTCATGTGACCTGCTGTGATTGGTCACAGCAGGTCACATGGTACCAGCAACGTGAGCCGGTACTCGGGATCGGTCATCAGCCGTGTCCGAGGTGCACGGCCGGTGACAGATCACACTGCTGCGCCGCTCTGCATTAGCGCAAACTGCGCATGTGTGGGAGCACGCCAAATGGCGTGCACCCGGAGTGCAGAGACACTTTTGAAGCCGCCAAACGGCCATTGGCCGGGCGGCTAATGGTTAATCACTGTGAAGCCTGCCCCTATGTTTTCTCTCTTTGAATGGAGGAGAGAGATACATTGTATATCTCTCTCCTTGCAGAAAAAAAACAAACAAAACAACAATTTTAAAAAAATGAATAAAAATTAAAAAGAAAATAAAAAAATACCTAGATCAAGGTTTGATCTAGGTCAGTGCCAGGGTTAGTGTTTGGGTCAAGTAAGGGTCACAGTTGAGGTCAGGGTCAAAGGTCAGAGTCAGTATAATTTGGACAGGATTTTTTTGTTTTAATTAGTATCAGTGTCAGTGTGGCTTACGTACAAAAAAAGTAACATTTTATGTTTCTGGGCTGTACTACAGGTACAAACAAAAACTAACATACACAAATGTGGTATCACTACGATTTTCAGGAACAGAGAATATATTTTGGGTTGTTCTTTGCTGGTAGGTTATGGTAGTAACAAGAAATATACAGCTACATTTAAAAAAAAGGTTTTTTTAACTATTTTGGGCAAGTTTTCCTAATTAATTCCTAATTAAAAAAAAATCAGGAGATATCCATAACCATTTAACACCAAATGAAAGCCCAATTTGTCCTCATAAAAAACAAGGTATAATCCACCTGGATGTAAAAAGTAGATGTGATTATATGTATAGTTTTGCTAACACAGGTCAAAGTTGCATAATTGCTTAGGCATTAGGATTTGTTTTACCCTTAGGTGTGAAGGGGTTAAAGATGAAAGCGTAGCAGTTGAAATTAATATACTTTGTAGCTAGCAAAAACATATATGCAGAAAGTCAGACATTAACAAGTCTATACACTTTCACCCTCTTCCAGTCCAAGACATTTTTCAGTTTTCAGCAGTGTCATATTTTAAATGACACTTACTCAGTCATGCAACATTGTACCCAAATAACATTTTTATCATTTTATTTTAAGACAGATAGAGCTTTTATTTTGTACAAAAAAAATTAAATATACTCGATCCTTCTAGGTCACAAATCAGCTTGATTCCTTTAGCCCAACTGTAAAACATGGGCATATAAAAAATATTTTTTAAAAATAGCAAACGTGGCTTTTTAAGCCCTTCACACCTAAGGGTAAAACAAATCTTAATGCCTAAGCACAATTTTGCAAAGTTGACATGTGTTAGTAAAACCGTACATATCATCACAACTGCTTTGTACATCCAGGTGAATGATACTTGTTTTTTTTCAGGACAAATTGGGCTTTCATTTGGTGGTAAATGGTAATGGATATTTCCTTTTTTTTATTATCAAAGCAAAACCGGTCCAAAATAGTAAATAAAAAAAAAATCTTTTTTTTAACTTTGCTGTGTGTGTTTTGTTACTGCCATAACCTACCACCAAAGAACAACCCAAAATAAATTTTACAGCTCTTGACGATCACAGCGATACCATATATGTGTATGTTATTTGTTGTTTGTACCCGTAGTACAGACCAGAAACAATAGTGCACATTTTGTTTTTTGTTTACCTAAAACACACTGACACTAACTGACACTAATACCAATTAAAAAAACTCTGACCTTTTGACCTTGAACGTTGACCCTGACCTTGACCCAAACACTAATCTTGGCACTGAACTAGATCAAATCTTGATCTAGGTATTTTTTCTTTATTTTTTATTTAATTTTTAAACATGTATTTATTTATTTATCTTTTTTTTTTTTTAACAAACATTTTTTTTTCCCTCTATGCCAGCAGTTAGAGAGATATGATGTATCTCTTTCCTCCATTCATAGATAGATAAAAAAAACACAGGGCTGTAGAGTGACTGATCACTGTAATAGCCAATCAGAGGCTATCACAGTGATCATGTGACCCACAATCAGGAGTCCTGGGTCCCGATCATTAGAACGGGACCAGGGGCTCTCAGTGACACCCCGGTCTTTGTGCTGGGAGCGTGTTGTGCGGTGTGTCAAGGGGTTAATACTTAACCATATCCAGCCAAAGCGAACATAATGTCCCAAAATGCCATGAAAGTGATACTTGTCATAATATTATTATTAATATTATACAGTATTTATATAGCACCAACAATATGACCTGTCATGGCTTGCACAGCCTGATCGGTTTCGCCGGACCCACCCAGCTACATCAGAGGCATAATACAAACAATTGTGAGCCATCTTCTTAAATGGTCCTAAAATGGCCACCAGCGTGTTAGAAGCACAAACAGGAAACAGAGGAGCTGAAGAAACAGGAAAGGGAAAGGGTGGGGAATGGAAGTCGGAGATGAAAAAACATAAAGAAAAAGCACCTATATTCATATATATGGATCAAAGGCCAACCACAACACAAGGCACCAAAACACCTACAAATATTTTATTCTATTCTATTATTTTAAACAATGGTGGTGTTTAAGGCAAGATTGCATGTTTAAACATATATATTAATTTGCATATCATTTTATAATGAATAATAGTATATGCAGTTCCTTTTCCTTACATAAGATGTCTCCCTTCTTATTTTTCCCTAAACAGATAAATGACAATGATAAAATTGTAACTGCAAATGTATTTATTAATGGTACTAATATAGCACTGTCAATTATATGCAGTGCTTTGCATATATTGTACATTCACATCAGTCCCTAATCCTCAAGGGGATGTACAATCTAAGGTCCCTAACTTGCATTCATACATAAAACACACATACTAGGGCCAATTTAGACAGGATCCAATTGACCTACCAGCATGTCTTTGGAAGGAAACCCATGCAGACACAGAGAGAACATGCAAACTCCAGGCAGGTGGTGCCATGGCTGGAATTTTAACTAATGTCCCTTATACTTCCAGGTGGAAGTGCTAACCATTTAGCCACTGTGCTGCCCAAATACATAGGAACTACAAATTTGTATAACTATAAGAACCTATCAACACTACATTCTTATCAACCCTGCCAGACCCCATTCCCATACCCCCCAATATCCCACACCCCCAAAGAAAAAACCCATACCAGCCCAATTAAAATTAAACATTAACAGCTATAATGATATCTGTCAGGAACAATATTTAATGCTTTTCACATTTATTCATGAAAAATAATCATAATCATAATTATCAAAAAAAAACTTCTCATATTGTATTATAGCAAAAAAACACGAAAAGCTTAGATAATCATTGAGACCAGGTGGTTTAACCACCTCCAACTCCCATATCCACCAAGTCTCATACTGTAGCAAAAGTTTATCATAATCACCACCCCAACATTTGAGGCATGATGGATCACGATTATATTCCAAACACACATGGTGTGCTATTGGGGCCCTAAGATGATAAGTCTTCAATATCATAAATATGGTCCTGGAATCATCTGCTTATTGATTGGAGGGTCTTGCCAACATAGAAGGATCAGCAGGTGCAAGTGATAACATAGAACACTCCCATTATGTCACAAGTGACCCTTTGGTGGGGTAGCACAGTGGCTAAATGGTTAGCACTTCCACCTGTCAGTAATAGGGTTGTTGGTTCAAATCCCAACCATGGCACCACCTACCTGGAGATTGCATGTTCTCCCTGTGCTTGCATGGGTTTTCTCCAGGCACTCCAGTTTCCTTCCACATTCCAAAGATAGGCTGGTAGGGTAGTTGGTTCCTGTCCAAATTGGCCCTAGTATATATGAATGTGAGTTAGTGACCTTAGATTGTACACTCCTTGAGGGTTAGGGACTGATGTGAATGTACAATATATATATGTAAAGTGCTGTGTAAATTGATGGCACTATATAAGTACCTGTAATAAATAAATAAACCTGAGGCACCTCCCAGTGGACAAGACTAATCTGTCACCCTCAACCATATACCTACAATATTCACATCAGCCACATTTTGCAAAGCCCATTCTTCTATGGTGAATTGGAGGTTTCCATGTGATATCACTAGGGACCAGAAGGTCTCTTAAAGACAGGGCCTTCCAACTTATGAATTGTGGTTTAGCAGAGACCATCTTTCCAACTGATGGGTCCTCTGATAATAAGTACTAATGTCTGGCGCACATTTCTTCAATCCCACTTATCAATTCAGTATATTGGAAACACAGTTTAGTCCTGTTAATTGCACTGTACTCTCAGATTTTATCCGGTCAAACAAAAGGGCTTCCCGATTACACTCTAGCTCATTTGTAAGCAAGGTTGAATCATCTGTCCTTATATCCTCTTTTGCAAAATCTGTTCCACAATTCCTTAGCCTCTATTTTGAAGTCTACTAAATCTGTGCAATTCCTTTGGGCTTTCAGGTATTAACCTACCGGAATACCTTTGACCAAGAGCATGGATGAAAGCTCTTTGCATGCAGCAGACTATTTGTTGCTGTTAGTTTTCGATATAAAGTTGTCTTTATTGTTTGCTGCTGTGTTATCTCTATGGATAAATCCAAGAATGTAATCTTGTATTTATGCCAGTCACTTGTGAATTGCAGATTATATGGATTCGTAGAAAGTTTTTCAACAAAACCCTCTATCTCCTCCACAGTGCCGGTCCAAAATATAAGGACGTCGTTCATGTACCTGTACCAGGGCAAGATCATGGACAGGTACACAGATGATGCCCCCCCAGCCAGGACTCCCAATTGCCAAGATACAAGTTGGCATAGGAGGGGGCACACTTGTTGCCCATAGCTGTGCCTTGTGACAATAATATTTTCCATCAAATTGGAATTTATTATGTACCAACATTTAAAATATGATATATGAATTCTATTGGCCCTGAACATGATTGTTTAAGGGTTTTTAGTGGGGTCTGTTTTGTTTTGCGTGTGTTTCTTTTTTGTAATTTAATTAATAAATGAAGTATTTTGTATGTTAATGAT